GAGTGGGAATATCTACGGACTTGGAGCGATTGAAGCTCAATCGGGCGATTGAACTTCAATCGGGCAATGGTCTTACGAGGTGTTATTCCAGTTAGGGGCCTGCTGATTCTACTGCTGACTGTACCCCTTCCATTCTACTACTGATTATACCCCTTACCCGCCCATGGCCCACGACTTCTCCAGTTATACAATTCTATTCCCAGTATTTCTTATACAAAGGAGAAGAGGCGTGGGTACATGGGGGGGATACCATATATATATGTATATAACCGTAGGGTTATGGAATAGTACAAGAAAATTAGTGTACATTGTTTTGGATGTAGGGTTTAGGGTCTAAGGTAGTATAATCCTCAGTAAGGATTCCCCCGCACTCTCCTTGTAATCCCTTTACATCTCTTGGGACCTCTAAGCCAAAAACCCTCAACCCTAAGCCCCGAACCTTAACCATCCCTATATGTCCGTTGGCTCCGTCTTGGCCCCCCATTTTTGGGAAACTCCAAGATAATAAAGCAATTGGGGTTAGCCCCGACCCATAATCTCCAGGATTAGGATGTAGGGTTTAGGATGTAGGGTTTAGGCTTTAGGACTTAGGGTTTAGGATCTAGGTTAGGCCAATCCCCCACCCAGCAATAGGTACCAGAAGGGACTATCGTAGGTATATTACGATCCTATTAACTTTACGTTAAGGAGTTGTTACTATAGGTTGGAGTGACCTAACCTAAACCTTAAACCCTAAACCCTACGCCCTAAACCCTAAACCTTAAGCTCTAAACCCTAAACTGTAAGCCCTACGCCGTAAACCCTAAGCCCTAAACCCTAAACGGGGCTGAGGGTTTAGGATTCAGGGGTTTAGGAGTTGGAGCGCTTGAGGAACTCCTAAGGTTTGGTCTTGCTTTGTTAAAACATGTAGGGTTTTGGGTTTAGGGTTAAGGGTTTGGGGTCTAGGGTCAAGGGTTTAGGGTCAAGGGTTAAGGGTTTCGGGTTTAGGATTTAGGGCTTAGGGTTTAGCGGTTCAGGGGTTCAAGGTTTAGGGTTTTGTGTGTAGGGGTTTAGGGGTTAGATGTTTAGGGTTTAGTCTAGGGCGGCTGAAGTGAGGCTTGCCTCCGTCACTCCCTCGACCACTAAACCCCACGTGTCAACTACATGCCATGACGTATTCATGTGCTCCGCGCCCCGCCAGCCGAGGCGGGTGCCCCATAGCGTTTATAATTTAATGAACTCCCCAATTATGACTATCACCATCCGAATGCGTGGTTCACCATAAACTTTGTGTAGCTGGAGTCCCTCGAACAAGCATGGCTTCCGACAGAGGGCTATGTCGGCTTCCATGATTGTTTGGTGGTAGTTCAGACTTGAAACCTGGACTCCTATGAGCATGTCCAATGTGTGCTGCGTTTCTGCGCTGTTCCAAGAAAGAACGTAATCTATGCTGCAGACTTCACTATCCGCATGGATGTGAGGATTCTGTAAGGGGTAGGCTGCTCTGATCGAATCTACCTACCCCTACAACACCTCGCATCCCGAATGTTGTGCAGGCCCTACATTACAACAGCCCTTCATAGAACCTCTGTAGAATCCATGTCTCAATTTCATGTTCCGCTGTGCTTTTCATATAATTCTTCATTATTGGTACCATAGGCTTGGCTGTTTGTTGCATGCCTGTTCCAGCATTCATGGAGGGGGTTTGGATGGGCTTAGTCCATGAGCCTCAAGTGATCTCCCTCTGTTATTTCCCTAGATTTCCTAAGGGGCTCCTGTTTTGAGACACTCCCAAGCAAGGGCCAGCGCTCTAAACCCTAAACCCTAAAACGTCTCTCACCCCAGGCGTTTTCCGGCTGCTCGTGCGTGTAGCGCGTGTCCCCCAGGTTGAGAGTTTAGGGTTTTAGGGTTTAGGGGTTCAGGGTTTAGGGTTTAGGTTTTGAGGTTTGGTTTTTTGTTTCGAAAAGCAGAGGTTTCCTTTGGGGAGGTTTTATAATCATAAGGTATGGTTTCTGTGGGTATATTAAGGCACCCAGGCCTGAAATGCATAGGCAGCGCAAGAATGGGACCAAAGTAGGATTTAGCCAGGAGCTCTAGTACTCTAAGGTTTGGGGTGTACACCCTAAACCGTACTCTCTAGACCTTAAGTTTGGTACCTTACGCTCTCATCCCTCAACCCAAAACCTTACATAAACCTTATTCCTAGAGTTTAAGCAAACCCCTATTTGGATCCTTGCAGCCTTTGAAGGGCATAGAATGGTCTTTTGGCAAGACCTTCCTATTAGCATCATGACGCACGAGGCCTCTGCAATCTGATGTAATTTGTATCCGTAGTGTGTGGAAGACAGGGCGTTTTTGAAATTGTGGTTTTGCGGGAGTTCCAACTAGGGCGGTGCGTGAACTTGCCAACGACCATAGGCTTCGTCAAAGTAGTGTGAGAAATATGGCAGTTCCGTGAATCAGGGCACCCCAATATAGACTCCAAAATAGTATAGCATGGCGCCCCTGATTAGGAAACCCCAAACCCGAAGCCCTATATGTCCCGTAAACAAGAACTCTATATATCCCCGTTAATGGTACCTCTGATTTTTAGGAAATCCTCAAATTTGCGCTTGATGCGCGAGATTTACTCAGGTCCCCCTGGAGTGGTCCCTTGGAATGAAAACATGGTTGGAGCTGAAAGGTCAAGTTTGACGCCTTAGGTGCACCCCCCACCCAGAAATAGTGGTCATACGTGATAGTGGTTATTATATCACGTTTACAGGCTGGGGGTCCACCTATGTGATACCCTTAATGAACTTTGAGTGTGCCACTCAGGAACAAGCACCCGCGGAGGGAGTCAGGACACTGCTTTCGAATTCAAGCTTACAAACCCATGACCCACCATGGCAGAATCCTCAACCGACCCATGATGTGACTATAAGGCTGTTTTCGAGCCAGGGTTTTGGTAGGAGCATGGGGAGTTTCGTATTGTAGTGCTTTTTGAGGTTAATTTTCGTGCTCTGATGCCATGTCAGAAATTCACATAACCGCAAATCACAGGTGTTGAGTATGATATATCTGCAAATATGATGCGAAGGGTCTTTCTTGAATGTGATACATTTTCTAGGAACGTGCCGAAGCATTCTCATTATGAGTATTTTTTTTGCGCGGAAAGTTGCAGCGAAGGGGTGCTCCGCAAACACAGTACATTCTTCTCGGAGAAGCATGTGTGACAAGCGCGCGGTCATGGAAACGAATTACCCATAAAACTTTACATCCTTAAGCCTTCATTCCCGGAGGCAGTAGCAGTCATCGTAGTAGTACCAATAGCAGTAGGAATATCAGCAGTGCCAGTGACAAATCGTTTTCCCATGTTTCGCCGCAGTGTGTCTTTTGCTATCCTCACAATCCCAAAATGTGTAGGTCAACAAGTATTATTGGGCCGTTTTGCTATCTTCCAAATCTTGAATAGTATAAGTCACGTTTTACTGGGCCCCTATCCTCCCAATCCTGAATCGTACAGGTCAAGTATTGCTAGGCGCTTTCGCTACCGTTAAATTCCTCAGGAGTCGGGTTGGCAAGGGTGTGTCAGGATCTTTTGGAGTTTGCAGTGCTTAGAGTCGCGATAGTCTTCAAACACTGAATGTCAAGAAGCTGTAAGAATTAATGGGCCTCTTGCTAAAATCCTAAAGAATCCTAAACGAGACTTGTCAAAAACACATATTGGGGAATGGGGCTTGTAAGAGTTCGCAAAGTTTGGCTTCGGAGCTTGCTGTGCCTTCAATCCTCATGGACGTGGACTTCAATATCCCCGCCCCAAACCCACAAAACAGGCCCATATTCAAAACGTGCAAACACGCAATATGTGCTGTAAAACGTGGGTCATGTAAAGAAGGCTGCTTCCCAAATCAACGAAGTCCCGCTCACCCGACAATTCTGTAAATGCGGTCAAACACACTGTAAAACTATTGTGAAGTGAAGAAAGACGCAGCATCAAATATACGACGTAATCCTACAGTAGTCGTAGTGGTCGTCGTCGTGGTCGTGG